CCCTGATGTCCTGGAGCCGTCCTGATGTAGACTTGACGTCCCTGCTACCTGTAAAAAAGTCCTATTGTTAGTAAAAGAAATAAAACAAATGTAAACAGAAAAGTGTTATTAATAAAATAAAAGTGTTATTAAGGTATAAGAAAGAAAGATAAAAAATTTAAAGAACAAATATCCTACCTTGAAGATAATCGATGGCTGATGTCTTCCCAAGGTCAATGACGAAGATCCACGGTGGAAGGGAAGTCGACTTGAATTTCCTGCTGCTTGTAAAAAAGGCCTAAAAAAAGAAAAAGAAATTAAATTTAAATAAAAAGTTTAAATAAATAAAATAAAAAAGCATTAAAATAAGTAAAAGATAAGTACCAAATGAAAAGATTGGAAAGCATAAAAAAGATAATTAAGGAAAGGAAGGATCTAATAATAAAGAAGACAAAAAATAGAAGTTTTAAAGAATAAATAAGCATACCGTTTGTTTGTTGGTGGACTTTCGTTAAAGATTTCCACGGTGTCTTTTTCAATTACTAGTATTTGTATAGGTTTCTGAAAATGAAAATAATTTCTCCTTCATTAATTCTCCAACACTTTCACTTATCATTAGTATCACACATGCTAATTTTTTGTCTATTGATTTATTAGTATAATTAATGTTAATTTGTTTTCTTTTACCTTTTTTACAGTTTGAGGGATGATTGTTTTGCTTATTGCTTACTAACATCAGGACTTTCTTGTATGTCTGAAGAGTTCTTCCAGCCAACATAGGAATCTGTCTACATATTCACGATTATGGAGACAATCTGATGAAGCCAACAAAGGAAAAGTAAGATTTATTCACCATTTTCTCTTTTATCTACCTTATTAATTAGATCTTCTTTACATATTTTCATTCATGTGATTTACTTTATGACTTCTTCAAAAACCTAATTACTTTTTGTTAGCTATCTTTTTATGTTTGTCTTTACTTATAAATCTTTTCTTTTTATGCTTTTATTTTACTATGGGGGTTGAATTAACATTTAAAATATGTGTAATGTAACACTGTATTTCATAGGAACATCCTGAAAACTTGAGTATGCCAGTTGGCCATTGATTTTAATGGCTGTTTCATTTAACTCCAGATGTTCCAATTCCATTTCATTCATGAAAAAAAATTTCTCCCTTATTAATTCTCCAACACTTTCATTTATCATTAGTATCACACATGCTACTTTTATGTCTATTGATTTATTAGTATTATTAATGTTAATTTGTTTTCTTTTACTTTTTTTACAGTTTGAGGGATGATTGTTTTGCTTATTGCTTACTAACATCAGGACTTTCTTGTATGTCTGAAGAGTTATTCCAGCCAACATAGGAATCTGTCTACATATTCACGATTGTGGAGACAACCTTTGACAAAGCCAACAAAGGAAAAGTAAGGTTTATTTATCATTTTCTCTTTTTATTTACCTTATTAGTACTTCTTTACATATTTTATTTCTTCTGATTTACTTTGACTTTTTCGACAACCTAATTACTCTTTGCTAGTTATCTTTTTTGTGCTTGTCTTTACTTATAAATCTTTTCTTTACTTATTAATATTTTCTTTTTATTTACATTAACTTAATTTCTTTTATTTTTATTAAATCTTTTATTTACTAAGATAAGGACTTTTTTTACAGGTCACAGGTATTCCAACACCTATTTACAACTCAGAACATCCAGGAGAGCCAGAGCTACCACACAGAGCATGGTGGACGTGGAACTATCCCACCGGAGATTTGGAGTCACGACACCAAGAACCAAGACGAACCAGAACCACAGTCACACCAAGGCTACCCAGGGTCAGTAATGGATATCGGACCAACCCAATGGATCAATCAGGACATCAAGATCACCAGGACAACGTTGGACATCGAGGGACCGGACGTGGAGACTCCGGGGTCCGAAGTCTACCGCGTCCGAATACTCCGGGGTTGGAAGACATCGGGATTTCCGCGATCCTCAGTCAGGTACGAGGGCTTCAAACTTTGAAGACTTCGAAGTTTGAAGAACCCCGGGTGCGAAGACCTCGAAATTGGTAAGTCTGTGGGTTCGACGACTTCGAAATAAGAAGTCATACAGGAGAGTCTCCGGTGTTTGAAAATTCCGGAGTAGGAAAACGCCAAAACTATTTTGGCGTTTTTCGACTTCGAAATATTCGAACTTCGGAAACTTTCAAGTGTGTGACCTTCTTATTTCGAACCTTTGAACTTCACAGTCTTTCTAATTTCGAAATCTTTATAACTCGGGGTCTTTAAACTTCGAAGTCTTCAAAATTCGAAACCCTTGTACCTGACTGAGGATGGTGACCGATGTTCCAACCCCGGAGTCTTCGAACGCGGAAGGCTTCGAACCCCGGAGCGACGGGGGAAGGGGAGGGCCGCGAAAAGGGTGGGGTCGCGAGGGGCGCGGGAAGGGGAGG